ATTTGGTTTTGTCAGTGTCATTGATTGGACGAATCCGGCATGTGGCCTGTTTAAAGACAGAGTTCACCCAGTAATGAAGATTTGCTGTTAATTTACTCACCTTCAGGCCTTCCACATGTAGGTCACTTTTTTTCTCTGGTAGAAGAATATATTTGGCTGCAACTGTGGTTCTTGGTGATTCAAACAAAGCAATTCAACAGCTACCAACATAACACATACAGGCAAAACTAAATTAATACCAGTGACTCCATGAAATGGTCATATGAAGTGAAACAATCAGTCCTTAAAAACATTCATACCTATAACAACATCCATATTGACCAGTCTCTGATTTATCAGGAGCTGCCACAGTGGAGTGAACATCCAATTACTTTGGACATAATTAGCAAAGTAAAAAATAACATAAAATAACATAATTTCTTATGTGGCGGATGCCCTTTCAGTACTGGGAAACATCCATACACTCTTTAATTTCACACACTATGGCAAATTATTTGTTATTAAACATGAAATTATAATATAAGTTGTTCAATATTTGTTCAAAATACCACCTGATATTGCTAGATCACTCTTATGAGTTAGTAACCACAGCAAAAATACATTTCTTTCTGAAACATTGTCTTTTGAAAATAGGTTATGAAAAATGGCACTTTCGTCCCCGCTCTCCCCTACACTGACTGAAATAACTGAATAAAATGCGTGCTTTTTATTGGTTTCGGAATATAATAATAATAACGAAACACAATAAACTAAAACTAAATTATAAATGAAGGCTTCAGATATCTAAAAATATAAATATATTTATTGTAGATGCTGCATTTGTTTTAAATATCAGGATTTCTGATCATATTTCCATACCACTAAGCTGTTAAAGAATTAAGGGCAAGAATGACATGATGCAATTAGCGTTTGTGCCCCGCACCCACCCACACACACACACCCTCGCACCCACACACACAATCACACATACACACACACAAACTCAGCATGGCATCGGCAGCAGCTGGCACAAGCAAGGAAGAAATCATCTGTTCCTCGACTGACCGACATCGACATTGTCTCTGTTTGACTACTCTGTTGTTGAGCTGCAAGAATGTCTGATATCTACTCACGTGGAAACAGAAATGAATGCCGAGGGGGGAAATAAACTTCACGCCAAATTCAAATTAAGGTCAAGCAATTTTATTTATGTTGTTTTTTATAGGTTGGCATGTGTGCTTGTTGTTCTGAACCGCAGTTTATTTTAATATTCCTCACAGTCGATAGTGGCCCACAGCAAGGCCACATGGCTCACATTTTTGTATACAGACGAAAATATATTAATTCATTTGAAATACATCAATAAAAACAGAGCTTTTTTCATCTGGAGTTTTTATTTGTACAAGTTTTACATTGTGACCCTCAAAGGCATCCTTTTCATCCAGTCTCAGAGATACAGTCTCCGGAGGTTTTGGGGTATCACAATGAAAAATGGACTCTCGGCTTTTGTAGTCTTTCCTTTTAGTTATGTAGTGCTGGTAGATTAAAGCTGAATTTTAAAATCAGAGAGAGGATTTCATGAATGCTTTTGCTTATACTGTGTCCCATATAGAAATCTGATGTATGGTAATAAATGCAAATCACACATCTAACAAACAAGTTCATGTTTGGAGTTTACAGATATAGAAATATATGGCAGTATAATATAGATATATATTTATTAAATATGTAAAACACATACAAACACATGTATGTATTAGCATTATTTATGTTTATGTGTCTATATTTACAGTATAAATTTGACATATGTCTTTGTAAGTTGGTTATTGAATTAATTATTAAAATAATTCATTCTTAAAGTGTGATTTATTGTTTGATTTTATTTATTGTGATTTATTTAAGAACCAAAATGTGCCTTTAAATGTGGCAACTATTTAGATGTGGTATGCTCTTTACTCTGTAGATGTGGTAACTATTTAGATGTGGCTCTTCACTCCTTTGATGTGGTAACTAAGCGGTAACTTAACTATACTAAATTTAGTATTGGCAATTAACTACAATAAGATATAACAATAAATTATTTTTATTTATTTTTTCTATCTTATAGTAACAATAATTTTATTTTATTTTTATTAGCTAATTAATTTAACTTAATGATAATCGTTGTTTGCAGCTTCCAAATTGTTAATACAGCATTTACAGAGGAAATAGTGGGGATTGTTTTGCTGATTGTCTAAATGTCTTGTTATCACCCACACATTATTTGCCCTTTTAATTCAACTACAAACAGGGTTACTGCAATAACCTTCTATTAACTCTATAATCCACTTTGCTCTGTCAGACTAGTGTTTCTGCAATATGTGGAATGGATTTTGTCTTGGATTTCGGGGTAAAGACAGTATTTTAGAAGCTCCATGAGCGCCACCTAGCTGCTCTTGGGGGGATTTATTGGCTTTTTGCTCATTTATTATTTTAAAGCCAGAAACAAACACACACATTACACAGAACACACACACACACACACACACACACTCACACACACACACACACACACACACACACACACACACACACACACACACACACACACACACACACACACACACACACACACACACACGTACATATCGTCCTAATCATTTCAAAACAACAATAGAGAATGTGTTCCTCACATACATGTTCCTCATCTTTAATAAAGCATTTAGGATTTGCCAAACATAATTAGAGACACTCAATCATTTCACAACATGAATTAGTAAAACACATTCACTTAGTGTATAGCAGTAACAAGTAACAAGTGTAACAAGCTTGTGTAATATTTTAAAATAAATTTTCGCAGGTTTTACATTGGCAAGCCCATACTGCCCCCTGCAGGCCACTAGTAAAACTAAACAAACTGACGGTTCTGACCACCAAAATAAGTCTCGGACTAAAAATGTAAGCAATAAGTAGATAAAACAATTGTCTTTCCTTTGATATTAGTATGTGCAGCATCATTTGAACAACACAAAGTAAAACAAAACCAGCTCTTTCAGCCTCATACTGAGAGTTAAGTAAAAGTGTGCAGTAAATTTCTCATCCATCAGAGTCTACATAATAACTTTCATCGTACATCAAGCTTTTGCAAACAGCATGCATCTTACATCAAACTCACCACATAAGCATTTACACACACTAACCAGCCTCTGTCCTGTCCTGTTCATGTCTCATGCACACACGCACTAAGCTGAATGGAAACATTTGCGGTTAACCATAATCTTTTGAACACCATTCCTCAACAATAATAAATAATAATAATTTTACAAAATACAGACAGGAAACTGTTGACCAAAACACATTTAAAGAGAAATTTTATCATTTACATAAATGATCAGTTTTGATGTAAGCTTTTGAATAAGTATAAATTGTAAAACAATGTATCTTATACTGAGGAGCAACTAAAATTAGAAAACTTTTTAGCTAATGGTGAAATTGAGTCAGATAAATAATATGATCATCCAGTTTAATAGAACAGTTTAATAGAACTGCACTTTAGCATAACACTTTATACTAAACATCATTTCACACAGGAAACACACTTCAACATCCTGTTATTCAGAACCCTACAGTGTGTGTGCACTGACTTTACACTTTACACTAAACCACTTTTAATACATGACAGAGAATATTATAATCTAGTTAAACAGAGTTGTAACTTTACAGGCTACAATTTATCAGCTAATTAAATAATAATAATAATTATTATTATTATATTTATTATTATTATTATTATTATTATTATTATTATTATTATTATTATTATTATTATTATTAATAATAATAATTTTTATGTGAAATAAATTAATGAGTAAAAAGTGTAAATATGTTATATTTAATCATTTAATAATTGTAAATTAACAACACTGTATCATTGCACGTTATGATGTTTTATTTATGTTTTTTTTTTCTAATTTTTGTAAAGTGTAAGAAAGTACCCAGGGGTGTAAAATAGACAAATACTAAACTAGTAATCTTACTTGATTGTTATTATTTGAGAATTTGTACTTTACTCAATTACAATTCAATGTGACTATTTGTACATTACTTGAGCACATTACAGACAAATAAATTGTATTGAAATCCTCAAAATGATATTTATCCAACCAATTTGTTAAACTTTTACATTTTTGTTTTCTTCCACTTATAATATAGTAAACACACAATTAAAAATGAAGAAAAAATGAAACTTTAAAAATCACAGTTTCTCTGTAACTTGTAGTTTTGTGTTTGAGAAAAAACTGCTGATGACATTTCTTCCAAAAAAATTTGTAATTTTTTTTTTGCTTAAAAAAAAATTAAAAAGGTAAAATTCAATGTAGAATCATCACTCAGTAATAGAATGGAAGGATTCACCGGTAATCAATGAGATAAAAAAAGACGTCATTCCAACATTTTTGTATTTATATTAATTTTATGTATTTATATTGTATTTATGTACTTATATTTATATTGTATTTATGTATTTATATTAAATACATAAATACAATATAAATACACATACATGTATTTATATTGATTATATGTATTTATATTGTAAATGTATTTATATTAATTTTAGAATAGTTTAGAACTTCAGAAAAATTGAGAAATCAATATTTGTTGGAGCATTTCTAATTTTCCATCACAACAAATTCTAATGTGTTATTCCAACCAATCAACATTTTACTGTCAGAAAAAAATGGTCTAAATGAAAAAATATATATTTTTGCTCTGAAATTTGGAAAAGAAAGTTATCAGATCTTTAATGTATAACATAAAAATAATTTTCATTTTATTTAAACCAATATCTAGCAAATCCAGAAAATTGAGAATAAATAGTATTATAATAATATATGAATGATTATACAGGGTGAGCTATTTATATTTACTTTAATAAAACTTATTGGGAACTTCACAAGAAAAACAATGGTGTGCTTGGTTTTAACGTAACTTTATTCTTTCATGAGTTATTCACAAGCCCCCTCACATATACTAATGTGTCACAAACAGGACATTAATAACACCAACCATTCCCATTTTATTAACGTGTATCCATATTAATGGCCCACACTGTACAATAACACTTCTTTTAGAGTGATGCTGTCTTGCACTCGGCTGCATTTTAATCGTTTTTTTATGCATTTGATAGATGTTTTTGATCTTTGACATTATTTTTTGTTTGTTTGTTTTCCTGTTTAAATAAAAGCTTTGTATTTCTGTCCGACAAATTACTTTATTTTTTTTTTATTTTCATTTTTACTTGAGAATAGTTTTGAGTACATTTTACATCCCTGAATGCACTTCAGTTGTTGTTTTTTTTAGCTCTATTCAGTTTCTGTTCTGACCTGAGCATATGTACTGAAGTCTGAACACTGCACTCGCTTTGTCTTGCGTTGTTTTTGTCCTCTGGTCTTTACATCTAAAGACGCATAGCACACCTCTTCATCTTCACCCTAGAATAAAAAGTACATGACATAATATTCAGGTCTAAACTCTCTCTAAGCTGTTTTATTAACTCTCCAATTATTGTTTATATACTACTTGTTTAACATTCTAAAGCTTGTATCTAACAAATAAAAGCACATCTGAAAAAACATAATGTTTCCATAATGAACATGAATGTTTGCATTGTTCATACCTCAACTGTATTTCTTCTTTGCAGTTGGACTTTTTGATCTGTTGCAGCATCTAAAAATGCGTTAAATACAAACATCACTTACAGGCAGTACTTAAATAGATGAGAGTGCAGTTGTGCAATTCCGGTTGTTTAAATTTCTAACATTATAAAACAGTGCATGCAGGCATTGCTGATACAAAGTAAGCAGACTGAGAAAGGCTGTTGATCTGTATGTTAGAATGTGGAGATGCAGTGAGAATTACCTGTAGTTTTCTTCTGACAGAGGCAGTAGACACTGATGGAGAAGAGGAGAACACACAGCGAACACACACTGAACAGCAGATTCCAGCAGACATGAGGAGTCCTGTTCAACAGCTCAGAACAGGACGTGTCTTTCTCAAGATAAAACAACACAAATCTATCAATACATTTTGATTAAGAAATAGCTTTTTCACTGATGAAGTGTTCTTAAGGATATACACAATCATATAATCATTTTTTCACACCTGCTAAAGAGAGACGAGTTGTTCGGTTTCCATAATAGTAAACCTCAGAGGAAGAGATGATGCCTTTTTCATTCTTATTTACCTTATTCTCTGTTTTTGCACAGTAGTACAGTCCCAGATCAGAGACACTGATGTTAGTAATATGAAGATCATAAGAACTGCTGTACAGGTTCTGGAGAAGCTGGAAATGTTTAGGTAGAGCTGTGGTCCATTTTCTAAAATCTATTATGAGAGAGGGCTGGTTTTCATGAGAGAAGTTTCTTATCCATACGATCAAAAAACCAGTAGGTGAAGAGAGATCACAGTAGAGAGTGATGTTTTCTCCTGGTCTGACTTTCATCTCCACTTCTTCTCCAGTGATTCTTCTCAGATTGCACAACAAAACATCTGTGAAATAAGAAAGTGTAAAGTAACTATAAAACACTTAATGATATGTGCTACCATACAAAAGTATATTATTAACATTGACATCTGATACTTATTTCAATTTAGTAAAAAGCATTTGTAAAAAGTTTTATTTTCTTACACATAAGGATGAGAGTAAGTCGTGGCGTCTCCATGTCAGTGAGTGATTGTGAGTGGCTGACACTGCTGAGGGTCTTAATGCACACAAACAGCTCTTATCTGATTGTCTCACGTCAATGGAAAGTTTTATCTAAATGCCCATGCGTCATGAGTGGGTGGCTTTATATTGGGTTATCGTGTGTATACAGAGGAAGAATAACATTAACCAATCACTGCATTGACTTTTTTGTGCTGATTGGTCATGTGGCATCTGATTGGGTTACAAAAAATGAATATCACCAAATCATCATCAAACATACACAGTGGAGGTAAAATGTACAATTTTTGTATGAACAATATGCGTGGCAACAAATAAGCTTACATCCGTTTTATGAGAATGAAACAAAATTAAAGCCATCCTTTCATCTAATAAATCCTAAAGTACTCACGTATTTATGTTATTGAACACCATAACCAATGTGAATGCTAATATGGATAACTAATAAAGTTATTTTTATTCTTGATTTTGAGTCCATTTTTGGTTTTGATACGACTCAGTTCAGCATCTTGTACACAGGTCAAAACAGGAAACCACAGCTCTTAAACCAATGACAGTCAACACCTTTTTACACATTTACCTCACAGCTCTATGTTTATCAGTGGTCACAAGCACAAATGTTTCCTTTAGCCTTTGTGTGGTTTTATATGTTGGTTAGGGTGCACATATTTGCACAGGAAGCTTGCTTTAATGGTAGTGTTACTTACTAGCTTTGGTAGCATGTTTGCAATACAGTATATGATTCTCATCATCTCATCATCACAAATATACAGCTCTTATAAACATGAATGCATGTGTCAACAGGTAAAAAAGGCAACTTAAAAAAACAATGATTATGATTTAATGCAGGTTTTATTAGCCTAATATTCATTACATTACAGAACTGCAGTAAATGCATAATAATATAATGTTAATTGCTTAAAGTATTTGAATTATATGACTATATTTAGCTCTCATGTGAGATGAAATTAATTTATGTAATCTATGTTTATAATGGGCTTAGTGGTTAGCACTATTGCCTCACAGCACAAAGGTCACTGGTTTAAGTCCTGGCTGGGCCAGCTGGCATTTCTGTGTGGAGTTTGCATGTTCTCCCTGTGTTTGCGTGGGTTTCGTCCAGGTGCTCCGGTTTCCCCCACAGTCCAAAGACATGTGGTACAGGTGAATTGGGTAGGCTAAATTGTCTGTAGTGTATGAGTGTGTGTTTGAATGTGGGTGTGGATGTCTCCCAGAGACGGGTTGCGGCTAGAAGGGCATCCGCTAAAAAAATGTGCTAGATAAGTTGGCGGTTAATTCCACTGTGGCGACCCCGGATTAATAAATATTAATACTAAGTTGACAAGAAAATAAATGAATTTAAGTTTATAATGGAGCTGGCGCGGTGGCTTAGTGGTTAGCACTATTGCCTCGCAGCACGAAGGTCACTGGCTTAAGTTATGGCTGGGCCAGCTGGAATTTTTGTGTGGAGTTTGCATGTTCTCCCTGTGTTTGCGTGAGTTTCCTCCGGGTGCTCCAGTTTCTCTCCACAGTCCGAAGACATGCATTATAGGTGAACTGGATAAGCTAAACTGGCCGTAGTGTATGTGTGTAAACGTGAGAGTGTATGAGTCTTTCCGGCTACTGGGTTGCAGCTGGAAGAGCATCTGCAGCGTAAAACATATGCTGGAATAGTTGACAGTTCATTCCGCTGTGGAGTCCACTGATAAATATGGTACTAAGCCAAGAAAATGTATAAAATGTTTTTAATGATGGCTGTGTTTTGCAGACAGTGCATTTGCACATTATTTTAATCACAGAAAAAAGCTGAACATGATTTGAATGAACATCGCAAAATGTTTATGCAAGGTTTTAAAGTACATGTGGCGCTAAAATTTTTTTTAAGTACACATAGCAAGTAACACACGACACTGCTGATCCATCCCCTTTTCTGCTTTCCTGTCAATAATCTCCACAATATTCTCCTATGACGTTAAAAAAGGGTAAACCCCTAAAAAAAAGAAATACAGCATAGGCTCATTCTAAAAATGTAGCCCTATATACATTTCTGGAGATCGCGAATTATGTAGGAATGCATGGCTGCATTACATCTTTAAGACGAACATTATATGGGGCAGTATGACGCCGTTCCTTTTTGCGCATACCAACTGACCGCTTAACACCATGTGGATTGGTTGGTCAGGCGGTCAGTCAGTCAATCAGTCAATCGACAACGGCCTATGGTGGATTTACGTGAAAAGAGCAGGTGTGAATGGCACTAGCAAGAGAAATTTGAGATCTCAAAATGCATACACAGCGGCCTCTGGTGGATTCACAAAAACTGCAAAAAAAAATAGCTCCTGGGACATATTTGGCGCTATCTAGAAATGTATATCGGGGTACGTAATCAGAATAAGGCTGGGTTGAAGAAATAACATGTCTCTTGTTCAGTGGTAGCTGTCCAGTGTGCTGAATTTATACCGATCCTACTTATGTTTAAACATGTAGGAGGATTCTGTCTGAAATAAGTCCAATAAATTATTCTTAAAAATCTAAATTTTTAGCACTGAGATTTAACAAAGCAAATATAAGACTTTTTCAGACAGGGCTTTTATTTAAGTCCTTGTGTTTTTTGTATTTTTTTTCAGGTATTGCAGCTGACCTTTTTTTTTTTTTTTTTTTTTTCCTCTTTTCTCAGTCATAGTTATGATTTTACTTCACTTTCTGGTGTGTTTTGTCTTTCATGTCTAGCTCTAGAGTTGATTCTTGCCCTGTTTCCAGCATCCAGCAATTTTAGCCACTAAAGCACATAACATAAATAACATAGCCACTATGTTATAGCACACTGAGTTAGTGTTGTCAGAAATCAACAGATTCCCTATGCTCCATCCATCTGAGCCTTATATGTTCAATTCTGGTCATAGTTTGTGGTAACTTTAGCCTACATAATCAGTCAATGATATAACATTTTATTTGTCAGGAAAAGATTTTCCATGAAAATTTACAAAATTAAACAAATACAAGCATTGTAAAAGTTTGTTGCAGAATATAAATCCTGATGCAGAGCTCAGAGACTCACAGCAATGGGGTATCCTGGCTACAGGACTCCAAAGACATTTCTGCATCTTTCCCTTAAATACTCATCTCAGAATAAACAACCATAAATTCAAGAAAACAAAAGCTTCACAAAAACCCTTATCTGTTCATGAGTTGATGGTGAAGACCATTTTCCCTAGAGTGGAGCATCCAGCATTAAAGCCAAAACCCAGATAAACAGATATAAGAGACTACTGTAAAACTGAGACCACTTTACCAGTCACACAGAGACATTTAAAATGACACCAAACACGAAAGGGAAAAGTTATAGATCCACCTTCAGTGTGGAGTGTTAGTGACCTCCTCTGGTGAAGGTGAAGTAGACGGCACAAAGGAGGGCTCAGGATGGACAATTGAAACAGTTGACAACTGCTTCGTAGCTGATCTTCTTCTCAGATTGAAAATAATTAATTCATTAATTTTCCTTCGGCTTAGTCCCTTTATTTATCCGGGGTCGCCACAGTGGAATGAACTGCCAACTTATCCAGCATATTCTTTATGCAGCAAATGCTATTCCAGCCATACATTCTCACATTCACACACATTCACTACAGCCAATTTAGCTTAACCAATTCACCTATGATACACCCAGAGGAAACCCACAACAGTGCTAAACCCTGAGCCACCGCCCTCATGGTCTTCAGTTCTCATGGTCTTGCCTCATGGAGTTCTAAACAGCTCTCAGGGTCGGATATTATGTCGAGATTTAGCTATCCGTACACATTCAAGTACTGTACCTTAGATATTTACATGTATTGGAAAAAGTCCCCCACTTTGTATCATTACGTGTCATTGTCTATTGATAATCTGCAAGGTTAACAATTTTTGTCGTTTCAGAATGCAGTGTAGTTTTATTTTAGCTATATTTAGTGTCTGTTCTGACCTTATACATTTGCATACATGATACATTCTATGCGTATACACATCTCTGGGAAACATCCACACACACATTCACACACACACTTCGGACAATTTAGCCTACCCAGTACCGCATGTCTTTGGACTGTGGGGGAAACCGGAGCACCCGGAGGAAACCCACGCGAATGGAGGGAGAACATGCAAACTCCACACAGAAACCCCAACTGAGCCGAGGCTCGAACCAGCCACCCAGCGACCTCCTGGCTGTGAGGCGACAGCACTACCTACTGCGCCACTGCTTCGCCACACACAATACTCATAATACACTCTATACATTTTATACACCCTATACATATACATATATACACTTAATACACTCCTATCAGGGTTCAGCATAAAACACAGGTCTTTGGTGTGAGAGTCACATACCCACTGAGCTACTGGAAGTTGATGAACCCACACACAACGAAAGGCAATTTGCTTCATATACACAAATGATACACTCCATACATATACACGATACATTCTATACATATACACTACATACATATGCACACACGATACACTCCATACATATGTTACACCCTATACATATACACATGATACACTCTATACATAAGCACACGTGATACACTCCATACATATGCACACATGATACATTCTATAAGTATACACAAGCACACACGATACACTCTATCCAAATGCACACACGATACACTCTATACATTCACACACATAGGATACACCCTATACATATACACATGATAAACTCTATACATATACAAGCACATCATACATTTTATAGGTATACACACTATACATATACACACTTGATGCACTCCTGTCAGGATCTGGTAAAAATCTTATAGATTTACTGTCATAATGTTTATCGTAATATTAAAGGTCTAGGGAAGCTTGAACTCCCTGAGCAAAATTGCGAGTATTTACAAATTTACATTGTGTAAATAATAGTTAAATTTTGTTTGCATCAAAGTGCTTTGGGTGTACAAAACCCTGTGGCTGGTTTGTGGTTTGAGCCTGCTCAGACCACTGGTAAACTTTCAATCTGCAAGCCTTTTCAGTTTCAGAGCTGTTTCAGAGACACTTAGACAATTAAAAACCTATCTCTTCCGGAATCACCTGAACTCAACTATGAACAAAACCAGGACCCCTTCATCTCTCCCCACACCAAACCACATGACAACTTCAAAATATGATGCAATTCTAAGTGTGCCTCACAGGTGAGTGGGCTTGACTCTTTCATTTTGACCAACACTTTCACCAGTTTTGCACACTTACACCAAACACTATCTTACAATCAACCAACAGCTAAAAAACAAATCAATTCAATTCAATAATTGCTTTATTGGCATGACAAATGCTACAAATGAATTGTCAAAGCATTTATAAAGTTTACATAAAAAGTAACGTACAAAAACACAGTAAACACAGTAAATAGCAGTAGTAAAAAATGGTATTTATATATAATAGTTAAATAAAATATCAACAATATTATTATAACAACATTATTCATGCAAATCAATAAAAATAATAATAAATCAGAATAAACTGTACATTTAACAATCAACATTTTGGCATAAAACAGTTCAAATAAAACAATAACAATACAATAACACAAAACAATAATAAGTATATATTGTGTGTGTGTGTGTGTGTGTGTGTGTGTGTGTGTGTGTGTGTGTGTGTGTGTGTGTGTGTGTGTGTGTGTGTGTGTGTGTGTGTGTGTGTGTGTGTGTGTGTGTGTGTGTGTGTGCAGGTGCATTACTGATGGTTTTATTGGTCTCCTCTCTCTTTTTGTGACATGTAAATTTTTTTCCTTTAGTAAATATTGCAGTTGTGTTTTATTGTCTAACTAAGTGAATTGTGGGTACATGCTCTGTAGTTTGGGGTAGAATATGGGTGAGGAAGTGTTCCTCCATCTTCACCTCCGCCTGAGCAGTGTGGACAGATGCGGCGCTCTCTGGGTTGGCAGTTCTGTCTGTATCGGCCCGTCTCTAGACTATGAGCACTCAGCCTGTAATTGGTCATTGTTGTTCTTAATTTACTGTCCTTTACTGCACATATGTTGCCAGATTCGTGCTGGAATTTCTATTTGTGTTGATTTTTTAATGGCGTAAAAGGCCCATTTTAGCTTTCTCCTTCAGTCCATTCACAGCCTGATTTAGTTTTCCATTAGTACTTCTTTTCAACCCAAGGTATGTGTAACTTATGGCAGGTTCAATTTTTCTCATACCAAGGGTGAAACTGTGTTTCTTTCCCTGACAGCTGGGTTTTTCTGGAATGTTAGGGTTTTGGTTTTCTTTGGGTTAACGGTCAGGGCCCAGCTCTGACAGAAGCTGTGCAGGATATCCAGCTGCTGCTGTGGACCCTCATCTGTTGGCGACAGCAACACCAGATCATCTGCAAACAGCAGGAACTTTAAACTGAAGTCGTATAGTGCGTGACCTGGCATATCTGCTTGCTCTAGGAGCATTGCCAATTTATTGATGTAGATATTTAAGAGTGTTGGTGACAGTGGGCAGCCCTGTCTCACACCCTGCCCCTAAGTGAAGAATTCTGTTCTCTATTTTCCAATTTTAATTGCGCATTGATTGTTTGAATACATTGTTTTTATAATGTTGTATGTTTTGCCGCCAATACCTGATTAGAAGTTTAGACAGCACACCTTCATGCCAAATTGAATCAAACACTTTCGAAAAATCCACAAAGCAAATATTTTGTTTTTGTTTTGATGGACGTATTTGTCTATCAGAGTCTGAAGGGTGAAGATATGGTCTGATTTTGATCACTCATATGGTATGAATTTGGCAGAAACCTCATCTGTCTTATGCTGAGGACATTGTACTTTGTAAGGAAGCCTGTTAGTCTGGTGTTGATGATACTGCAAAACAACTTCCCCAGATTACTGTTTACACAGATGCTTCACTAATTGTTAGTGTCTGATCTGTATCCACTTTTGAATATGGCCTGTAATAATCCTTTATTCCTTATACTCTCTCTCTCTCTCTCCCTCTCTCTCTCTCTCCCTCTCTCTCTCTCTCTCTCTCTCTCTGTCTCTATCTATCTATCTATATGAGCACATCTTTAAGCGTGTTTGTAATGTTTTTATGCGTTAGTCTTTTCTCTCTTTATGTGACAGGCATCAATGTAATGTGCTGCTAGTAAGATACAATCTGCTTTTTTACCTAAAACATGTTGAAGTTTTAGAGATACAGACCGCAGTCTGCCACATATAAAATAGATAACCACAGAGAAGGGCTGATATTGACAGAACTCGCAACTCAGAGAGAGCCGCATCTGCCCACACTGTGCCCAAGCAGAGGTGGAGACGAAGGAACACTTCTTCACCCACTGCACACACTATCAGCACCATCAGGGAATCAATTTACACCAAATTCCAGCTCCTTTACCCTAAATTCACTAAAATCACTGTCGTCAGTCTGTTTTATTGTCTAACTTAGTGAATTCGGGAAAAAGGAGATCTAACAAGATGTAACAAGATGATTAAGGAGATGTGCCTACATCTGTGCCTGCTAGTTGACAGCCCAAAAAACATGCTTGGAATAATGAGTACATTGTGCAGGATGTGCCATATGTATTTCTCTATTTATGCATGTATGCATGAATATTTGTTTGTTTAATACTGTATATAATTTAAATAAAGTTTGTATTTATTTTATTTAAAATAGTTTGTTATTAACTGCATAAATATCACACCAGTTGCCTATAATACACAGTTATAAGTCAAACTCTCTAGTCTCTAGTTGACACCAATCAAATTGTGAAGGGCCATTTGAATTGACTAGTTTTAAGCACTGAATGTTAGAAGGACACTTCAATGTGGTGGTCTTGTTTGCTTTTACATATGCAGTTTGGAACACACACCACCTGACTGGCGTTAAGGACTCTTATTTTGAAGTGTTTTTTTTACTCCTGTTTTTATTGTTACTTCCTGTATTTAGTTCCTGTTTGGTTCCTGTTCTTAGCACCTGCTCCTTATCTCATAAATTTATACCCCAGTAATGTCCCATCTCCTTGGTCGGCTGTTTTTTTGGCATTTTTTTTTTTGTCTTGTTGGAATTTATATGTCTGTAAATTTGTTTTTAATTGTGTCTGACATTTCTTCTTTCTAAAACAGCCATGCAGACCATTTCTAATAAGCGCTACCAATGTTTCCTGCAAACTTAAACATAATAAATGAAACTGTATTTGTGATACATCTTCATCCAGTCTGTAGAATTAATGATAATCTCCATTAAGCAAGCTGTTGCTAACACTGCATGCATACAAACCACATAAGCGTTTACACACAATCGACCTCTTTCCTGTCCTATTTCTGTCTCCTGTTCTGTCTTACACAACCACTAGCCTGAATGGAAGCATTTGTGGTTGAGATTCAATCTTTAACTGAGAACATGACAAGACCCTTTCTCAAAAACCAAACAAATGAATAAATAAAAACAGACCAGACAAATAGGTCAGAAAAAGCTTCTTAGAAGAATAACTTAATAACTGAGGGACCAAACATTTTAAAAAGTCAAATCAATTCAGTTTCATTTTAATATATAAACGTTTGCTAGAGAATCAAAAGTACAGTTTAAAAAGGCAAGTTCAAATGCATCAGTCTTGAAAACTGCATCTTACAACTAAACACCACGTAAAATGGGCATGCTTGTAGCTTTTCTGTTTCATTTAAAAATGGTAAGACCTTGCTAAATTTTAAGATTACCCAATTACATGTAAATAATCTCAGATAAACAATGCGATCGTCAAGTTTAAGAATACTATAATTATCATAAACACTTGACACCTCACACAGGAAATGCACTTTTACCTCATGTTGTGTTGGTCATCATCACTGTGTGTCAATAAAGACTGAAAACATGCTAAAACACTCACTGAAAATATAAGGTTTATTTGTCAATCTTTTACTGTTTGTACAGAACCACAATACTTTATTTTAATCAGAGATTTAATAACAGATACAAAAACAAAATAGCTGAGAAAAAGAAACAGCAATAAAGGCATTTAATGTAATGAAAAAATCTAAACCAATAATACAATGGCAGGTCATACATAAACTTTGTGCATCACATTGTGAGGAAAAAACACAACGAAAATAAGGTATGCATCTTACTACACTTGTATTCAATTATATTTTATTTGATTTTATTTAAGGCAGAACCAAAATTGTAAAACGAATTTCCCAACCTTCAGCAAATTTGCTAATTCTTTTGAATTCAAACTATGATCCAGCATAGATGTCCTTACCCGAACTAGAAAAACCTGCCATTAACAAGATTATGGTACATGTAATTTTCTAATCTATTAAGTTTTGTAATTGACCTGAGAATATATACTGAACTCAGAACTTCGGTCTTGTGTTTTTTTGTGTTGTATTTGTCTTCTGGTCCTCACATCCAAAGATACATAACACAACTCTTGTTCATTATTCCCCTGGAAGAACAAATAATGTGGGCTTTTATTATGTGTGTGAATATATATATATATATATATATTGTATAATGTAAATTTTTATCCAAAACATTTTAAGCAAAAGGAAATTTTTTTTCTGGTACAGTAGTTTGTATCATACCTCTGCAAATCTTGCACCTCTTAGCTTGCATTTTTGATCATGTGGAGAACCTAAAACGGAAGATTTAAAATGAGAACAGCACATATATATACAGTTGAAGTCAGAATTATTAGCCCCCCTTTTAATTATTTTTTTTATATATTTTCCAAATGATGTTTAACAGAGCAAGGAAATTTTCACAGTATGTCTGATCATATTTTTTCTTCTGGAGAAAGTCTTATTTTTTTATTTCGGCTAGAACAAAAGCAGTTTAAAAATTTTTAAAAACAATTTTAAGGACAATATTATTAGCTCCATTAAGCTTTTCTTTTTTCGAGTCTACAGAACAAACCATCAACATACAATAACTTGCTTAATTACCCTAAACTGCCTAGTTAACCTGATTTAACCTAGTTAAGCCTTTAAAAGTCACTTTAAGCTGTATAGAAGTGCCTTAAAAATATCTAGTAAAATATTATTTACTGTCATAATGGCAAAGATAAAATAAATTAGTTATTAGAGATGAGTTATTAACACTAATATGTTTAGAAATGTGGTGAAAAAATCTGCTCTCCGTTAAAAAGAAATTGGGGGAAAAAATAAACAAGGGGGTGAACATATTATGACAAATTATTATTTTGCTTACCCCATTGGCAATCTGCTTTAAAGTAAACCTAACTTAATTTTTATTATATTATTTTTAAAACAAGACGAAATGTTTTGTTTGTTTAGAAAATGCTTCCTGATTTAAGAATTTCAAGATGTTTGTTCTAGGAACAAGACAAAAAATCAAAGTAAGAAAAGCATTTTTTGCAGTGCAGCTTAATGAAGATGCTGATTTGACTGTGCAGCAGGACATGGAACGTGCTCACACTACCAAAAGTACTAACAACTGGTTTAAAGATAATGGTATCGCAATGTATAATTGGTCACCAAACTTGCCGGACCATAAACTCCTAGAGAATTCATGTGGAATTGTGAAGAGGAAGATGTGAGACACCAGACAGACACCACATCCAGTATTTCTGTGTTAAAAGTCCCTTTTGATTGGTCTTAAGTACTATTCTAATTTTCCAAGATACTGAATTTTGAGTTATTAATCATCAAGAAATAAATGAAAAGAAACAAACATGAAGCTAGTCAATTTGCCTTGACTGTACATTTCCATCATCAGAGGTTATGCAAAGACGATGCTTTTAAGTTTATACCTTTTAAAAGAAATGCATTGTTGATAAAAACAGAGCTCACTGACAAAACCATTTATTTGTATATTAAACCATGGCAGCAAAGTGTATTAATCTGTGAAAATTACCTGTAGTTTTCTTCTGACAGAGGCAGTAGACACAGATGGAGAAGAGGAGAACACACAGCGAACACACACTAAACAGCAGATTCCAGCAGAACACACACTTTGAGACAGCAGGAGGAGTGGAGGTGCTGTTCAAGAGCTCAGAACAGGACGTCTCTTTCTCAAGATGAAACAAACACAAATGAATCAATGAATGTTCATTAAAATATGTTTGTTCTGTTTGTCTTGCTTCCTGGAAAGCTCTCCAGAAACTACAAAACAACCAGCAGAAGTTATTTCTTACCAGCAAAAGAGAGACGTGTTGTTCGGTTTCCATTATTGTACACTGCAGATCCAGAGATGACGCCTCTTTCATTCTTATTGATGGAGTTTTTCACATTTGCACAGTAGTACAGCCCCAGATCAGAGACACTGATGTTAATAATGTGTAGATCATAGGAATTACTGGCAGGGTTGTGGACGAATCTGAAATGCTTAATTGTATCAAATATTCTATAATCCATCACTAAAGAGGGCTGGTTTTTATGAGAGCAGTTTCTTATCCACACAATCATGAAGCCATAAATAACTGAGCGATCACAGTAAAGAGTGATGTTTTCTCCTGCTCTGACGTTTATCACCACTTCTTCTCCAGAGATTTGTTTGTGACTAATTAAAGTAACTATAAAAGCAGACAAATAACTGTCAAGCACTTGTAATTTCACATACTCAAACACTGAGCATATTACTGAAAAATTATTTATATATTTAAATCTCAAAACAGTTTAAGTATAATTATTCTTACACATGAGTGCGATGAGAGTAAGTCGTGGCCTCTCCATGGCAGTGAGTGATTGTGAATTACTGACACTGCTGAGGGTCTTCATGCAGACCAGCGGCTCTTATCTGATTGGTTCACGTCAATGGAAAGTTTTACTTAAAAACATCCTGTGTCAGGAGGGGTTTGGCTTTCCATTGAGTTATTCTTTGATGTACAATGAACAGTGAAATATAGTGTTGTCCAATCTCAGCTGTCTTAAAAATGTCTTTGTGATCAGGCACTTGATTAACTCATGAAATTAAAGAAGTCAACAGGAAATAAAAATACTGCTCAAACCTTTCATCAGTAAACAGAGACAGATGTAGCTTGTATGAACACAGATAGAGTCACATCAGAAATGTTTGATTATAATCACTAAAATTTGTCTGTTGAACTGAAATGAAATAATATAATTGATCTTTTTCTTTGTGTTGCTGCTGTAATTGAGGGTTTTTATGTTTGTTTTGTTTAATAGGTCAAAACTGGAAGCGATGAAGGAACAGCATCTGAACATGTCAAAACAGGAAACCCACAAGCCCCGTTCAGAGCCTGTACAGTTCATCCTCTTCACATTAGTGTTTACAGTTCACTGATCTGATAAGATCTCTTAGATCATTGTCACAAAGCACAGATTTTCCATTAGGCTTTCTTTAGTCTTGTGTATTGATTAATGTGCGCGAGGGCAACTACTGGTTTAATGAGGGAGTTTTCTGAGAGATGAAGAGCTGTAAAGTGAGTGTTCAATTACAAAAAGAAACAATTATACAAACTCAGTGTTACCTTTTCATTAAGATTAACAAAACTGTATTAATTTAAAAGAAATATAATTATTAAAGCATGTATTAGAGCGTGTAAGCCCAACAAAGTTTTTTTTTAATGTAATTGCATTTAATTTTAATTAATTATAAAATAAACATTTATTAGTAATCACTACTGATGGGTTAGATTTTCAATATTCAATATTGTTCAGTAATTATTCAGCAGTAATTAAACATCTCTGTAGCATTTCCTCCTGCAGATGTGGTTCAGTCAGTTCAGCACTGCAGGGAGCTGTCCATTGTGCTGAATTTACTCCACACTAAACTCTCTTCTCACATTAAATTCATTATAAGTGTCTGATCAGTGAACAGGATACTGTCATTTCTCAACAACTAAAGAAGGTTTAATGTAGAATTTAAAAGATAATAGGAAATACAAACAGATGGATTTGCTTTATGAAAGGAAATTTTGTTGAATGATTATTACAATTTGGTTTAAATGTCGAATGTTGCACTCGTATATGTTGCATTGCTCTGCTCTTCTTTAAGTAAATCAAACCACAGTTGTGTGCTGTTAATTCTGTTCATGATTTATGGTGCATATTTTAATAAATCAGACACTTTTGCATCTTCAGTTTCTCAACAATTCTAAGTTATGAAAGTATATATATAATGAAAGCAACATTTACAGCTGCAGCGTGCACTAAATATTTTCTTACTCTGCTTCTTTTTGTTTTTGTCTAACCACAGTTTATCTCATGCATTGATGTGTGTATTGAGCATGCAAGATCACCAGCTTGACCACAAACACTTTTAGGACATTCAGTTTGTTGCATGCCTGAATGGAAACACTTGTGGTTTGTGTTCTCGCCTAGCTTTTCACAGCAACTGCAACATCACTGCACCAGGACCATCATTAAGACCAAGAAGAAGAAGAAGAAACACAATCATATAACTAAACAATTAACTTTTATGAATGATTTTTACTAGGCTTAAAAAATAGTAACCTGTTTACCTTTGACATATATTTACTACAGTAAACTATTGTGTAAAATCAGGTCGCTTCGATGCACATTATGCACCTGTAACAGACGTTCAACAGCGTAAATCACATCGAATCTTCAAATGTAATGACAAACGAGAGATGTTTTGCTAAAAAAAGAATCCGTTATGTATTTATTTTTCACATAAACAAACAAAACTAGATTGGTTAGGAAAATTCTAGCAAACATGTACAAGCCAATTTTCATTACAGACTAGGTGATAGTAATTTAGCATATTGAAAGCTGTATATTTGTATTTCACATAAACGAGAAATAATGTATTTAGAAATTTTCACCTTTTCAGCTGTGGACGCCATCTTGTGGTCAGACGCGAAAACTCGGCGCGTGAATTGTTTTGTGCTTTCTAGCCGTTAAAAGTACACAAAGTCCCTTAGAAAACCTTCACATTCATCGAAAATATCGAAACCATTAATACAATTTATTAATATTAATAATTTTATTAAAACAAGAGCAAACGAAAAGTACATAAATATGACTGTACCGTACCAGATGATATCTACGTACGGTCATGTGATCTGAAATGGTGCGTAGACTAAGAACTGGTGAGCGATTTAATTTACTTTATAATATTTACAATAATAAACTATTTTGAACTTATACTTATATTTCTAATATCTTCATGAGCAGTTAACACTGTATTTTATTTACATTGTTTGAGCCACTAATAAAAAATCTCCGAATATTTAATTATTTTAATTTAATTAATTGCTAAATAGCTGTACATTTTACAAAGTCAAACCTTGTCAAACGAATTCTGCTCATTTATCATAATTACAGTTTCGTGAAATATAAATTAATTGATTTAAAGTCACTGTTATTGTTATATTACCACTACTATTATTATTACTACTATTATTATTATTATTATTATTATTATTATTATTATTATTATTATTATTATTAACTATTATTTTTATGCTGAAATTAGATGTTTACATAATTCAGATTAGCTATTCAAATTGTGGTTGCTATAGCAACGCGTGTTATGATTTGACTCCATATATAAACACCGAGACTCGCCGCTATCTGTTGATTGAGGAGAGGCGAATTTCTGAGACATTTGCTGAGGATTACTGTGCTGATACTGCGATTCTTCAAGGAGACCAGTGGATTTCTGACAGAAGACTTTTATTTTATAAGGAGATCGACGCTCAGAGCTGAGATTATTCCTTTTGACACGTTTTGTTGCTCTTTTGTTGTGTTTATTTTGATTTTGATCTTGTTTTTATTGTTTTTATTGACATTTTTATTGATATTTGATCTTTGTTCTTGTTTTCAGGTTTGCTGGAGTTTGGAGGAGTTTGTCAGATGGGTGAAAACCGCAGTGAGTGTTTTAGTTTTTATTTGTTTATGATCAATCATGATATGATGTTGTGTAATGTTTGGGGAAATGTGATGTAAATAAACTGGTACAAATGAACCCATTTCAACACAACTGTTCCCCGATATAAGTGATCAGATGTCTTTTATTCTCTGTAGATGCAGCTACTAAAGTTAATTGTTGATTAATTCTTATAATCTTATAATAAACGTGATATGTTGTTGTTGTTGTCGTTGTCTCAGGCCGCTCCAGATCCAGGAGTTCTGCTTTCATCCAGGCAGCTGTTCAGGACGTCAGGACACATGATGGTGATGGTGAAACCCAGACCGTGAGCCAAGAGCTTGATGGATTTCTCGCACCTCTGCCTTCCCTGTTGGCCAAATCTGTGTCCACAGATCAGGGTAACAGGAAGAGGAAGCGGCAGAGCGGCAGCCAGCAAACACCAGAAGATGAACGTCCGTCCACCTCATCTAGAAGAGCTCTCAAACGCTCTCGCAGAGGTCAGAATGGCTTATTGAAGAAGTGATGATGATGTTTCAGTAATGCTCTTTTACAGTTTTCTCTACTGCTGCATGTTTTCTTTGAACACACATTTCTACTGCTCCTCTGTGTTGCAGACGCGTATGCAAAGGGCCCACTGCTGGGAGACGGTGGATTTGGCTCTGTGTTTGCTGGGATGCGCAGGTCTGATGGACTGCCAGTAAGTCGTTTTCTCCGCTCTTCATTCAAACAGCCTTTAGAAATCCTGATCTCAGTAAATGTGATGTGTGAGGATCAGGCAGGTGTGATTTATTATGCTTTATCTGTCTACAGGTCGCCATCAAGTATGTGTCTAAAGAGCGGACACAGAGGAGACTGAGAGTTGTGAGTTCAGTGTGAACCTGTTGTTGTGTTTGATGTTTCATTGGGTTCTGAATCCAATCGTTTGTCCTGCAGGAAGGTCAGGGTCGGCTGCCGCTGGAAGTGGCACTGATGACCCGCGTCAATTCAGCTCCTGCCTGCCCCAACGTCCTGCAGCTGCTAGACTGGTTTGACCGTCCCAGACGCTACATCCTGATCCTGGAGCGTCCGGATCCCTGCCAAGACCTCCAGAGCTTCTGTGAGGAGAACGGCTGTCTGGATGAGGGTCTGGCCAAGAAAGTGCTGGTGCAGCTGATCGCGGCTCTGAAACACTGCGAGAGCCGCGGAGTCCTGCACCGGGACGTCAAGCCAGAGAACCTGCTGATCTCCACAGAGTCCCAGGACATCAAGCTGCTGGACTTCGGCTGTGGAGATCTGCTCAAGCGCTCGGCCTACAAATACTTCGCAGGTGGGTTTGTGTTGCAGAAGGAAACACTCTGTGGATGTTTGTGAGCTTTTGATGATCCACCAAAGGGAATTTGTGTGTGCTGGAGTGTTTTGAACGGGTGTTTGTGTCTCCTTGTGTCTCTCAGGAACTATTCAATACGCTCCACCTGAGTGGTTCTGCAGACAGCGCTACCATGCGGGTCCAGCTACGGTGTGGTCAGTAGGAGTGACCCTCTTCAACATCCTGTGCAACCGTTTCCCCTTCGGAGGCTCACTGAGGGTCACGTCCAGGAGCAAACTGACCTTCCCCATAACTCTGTCAACAGGTAAGAGACTCACTGAGAGATCAGCAGAAGTGTGTTGCTCTGTGTTTCTGAACACGGTGTTGTGTGTATCAGAGTGCCGTCAGCTGATTGGCTGGTGTCTCAGTCCAGCGGCGGCTGATCGGCCCAGTTTGGACGATATTGAGCGCCATCCCTGGTTACAGTGAACAGGTGGCCAGTGACTTGACACTTATCTGAGTGACGCACTCATGGCTTTGATTGTGTTGTTAGGGTCAGTCTGGATTAATGATCTTAATGATTTGTGTAGGGTGAGCAGGAGTCACACAGGAAGTGCAGAGAACTGCTTCCTGATCACCTGCAGAATGAGGAGTGGGCATTAACTAATGGCCGACTCACCCAGGGCCGGGGCCCCTTTACCTGCACTAAGCCACCGCTTCAGACGACTTTAATGTTAATAGGGATTTTAATAATAAACGTATTCTTTAGACAAATAATCCAGGTGTAGTGTCTTCCTAGAGTGACTGGAGAGAGCTCAAATAAAGGGAGAGTTCACACAGAAATCCAGATTTACTCACTGTTTACTCAAACTCAAGTGGTTTCAGATCTTTATGAGTTTGCACAAAAGAAGATATTTTGAAGAAAGCAGTAAGTCAGACATTCATGCCTCACACACATTTATACATTCATATTCTTAACAATCAACACTGCTGTTTAAATCAGACGCAGATGCCAGAACATTGTCATTAACACTCTTTTGAATCATATTTCTACTAAAGAACAATGACTTTAGTTTACTCTACTTTACATTCTGCTGGTTCTGACATTAGAATAAATACTGAAGTCTGAACTCTGAGCTCTTTCATTCCTCTGCCTTTGTTGCTGTGTGGACGGCATGTCTAATGAACCATAACACACTTCATCACCAGCCTGAAACAGAATATATTTAATTAAAATAATAAACAAATAAATAAACAAATAAATATATTACATTATATTGATGTAATTTATGTTGCTGCTAAACTATTGCAAATAAAATATATTTAAAATTATTCTCAAAATGTGCTCATACCTCAACATGTCTGTTCTCAGCCCCATAACCTACAGAAAATTAACAAAAGATAAGAATAATTTACATTTGGTTCATTATGAAATCTAAGGCAGGCAGTCTAAAGCAATAATAAAATTTAGCCACATGAAAAGTGTTCAGGACAAAACATGTTTACCTGTAGTTTTCTTCTGACAGAGGCAGTAGACGCAGATGGAGAAGAGGAGAACACACACCGAACACACACTGAACAGCAGATTCCAGCAGAAAACACACTCTGATGCAGGTGATGTGGAGGTGCTGTTAAACCGTTCAGCACAAGGAGACTCTTGCTCTAAAATGAACAACAGACCATTATTAAAGTGAATATATATTTAGTTATTATATTCATTTTATTTTATCTTTACTGATTACACACAATAATGAAAAATATGAGTTTAACACGGATGAATTTGCTAAAAGTGGTTAGAAAATCAGAAGTTAAAGATTCTAATATAAAAATACACTATAAATTATCGTTTTACACTATATAATTAATTTTCTGTTAATTTATTTCAAAATATTATTAGAAACTAAGATACACTTAAATTAATTTTAAACAGACTTATTTTACTAATTTATTTTATAAATTTACATTATTTCTGTATTTATACTTGGACTATGGCTGCAGGATTTATTTGCAGAACTTTGCATTAATTATCGTTAAGATTCATTAAAATAATATTAAAATAATAAAGCTTTAGGTGAACATGTAGACTTATCATTAAAGCACAGCTATATTATGAAGAGATAAACTATAATTGACACTATTATTATAATAAATGACACTATAATTTACACTGTAGATGTTTGCATGTCTCTTCATCAGCTGTATTAGAAACACATTTAAAGGATCTGACTACACAAAACAAAGCAATGAAAACAGCAGTTGTTTCTCACCCAAGACAGACAGTCTGCTCGTCTTGTTTCCATATTCATACTCAATGTTTGGTTTGATTCCTCGTTCATCTTTATATATTTTTGTTTCTCTTTTCCCACAGTAGTAAAGTCCCTCATCAGAGACACTGACATTCTCTATATGCAGATCATAGGAGTTACTGGAGCTGTTGGGCAGAAAACTGAAGCGTGGAAACGTCTCCTTGAAGAGTGTTGAGCGATCTATTGACAGAGATGGCTGATTCTCATGTGAGCAGTTTCTCATCCAAATAATGTCTGATCCAAAAGGTAAAGCGCAGTAGAGAGTGACGCTTTCTCCTGGTTTAACTCTCATGTCCACTTCTGTCCCAAACACTTTCTGCTCTTCACACAACCAAACACCTGCAGAACAAACGCAAGAGTGTGTATTAAATCTCTAGCACATCATCAAGAATACATCATGACATTCAAACACAGAAATATTGACTCACACAGAAGTATGAGGACTGTAAGTCTCGCTCGCTCCATCTCAGAGACTGTGAATGTGAGAGTCTTCAGCTGCGGTGTGAAGGGTCCGCTTCATTGTGGTGGGAGGGATCTCTGTGGAAGAGCTCTGAATCTTTATGCTGTTGTTTTGTTTTTAGGGATATAATCTGGTCTGTTTCCTCTCATCTGTTCCTTTTAAAAACACTTTAAAAGCTCTTTTAGATGTTTAAGTTTAATAATAAAATGCAAGAGTGAATTCAGTTTCATAAATTGTTGGGACTTTTGTTTTGGACGATGTGATGTTTAATGTTGTGATGGAGATGACCTGAAGTGTTGAGCGTCTTCATGAGTTTCTTGTTTGGCATCGTTCATCTACATGCTGATTGTTTTCTTTGGCTTCTAAACCTCCAGAATGAATGTCTTTACTCAAGGTTTCTTTTGCTCTTGGTCTTTAGAGTTGCTAGAAACTTATTTTTGCTTTTGTCTGTGACCGCAAAGCTTTCCATTCCATTTGTGCACTCTATACAAGCTCAAGTCACAACTAGTGCACTGACACAATCACGAGGCTGTGGTTTCCTGTTTTAGCTTGTCTAAAAATCCCATGGTGAAACAAGAGCAATCATGGTTAGTTTTATTATATCAGTTTAATTTGATTGATTGATTTATTGATTGATGAAGTGTTTGTGCTTTATGGTGGGCCTGGTGATAATCTACAGACACTTTTTTCTGTTAAATGAATAATGTGTATCAGAGTTACAGTGTGTATTTGATCAGTGTGGATTTGACATGAAATGTGAAATTTACTAAATTGTAAACTCATAATCTGAAAGTGAAAATATAAAATATATTTTTTTAACTTGATCAGAACTCATAAATACAGAGACGTAAGCATTCACAAGAGGACAGTGACAAAGGCCACTGGAAACATTTGTGGTTTGGGTCGTACCCTAGAAAAGCAAAGAGCAGGCTGGACTCTCTCCATCACCATAACCAGCACTTCAGTCACACATGAAAAGCGCTTCTCACATCCTGTGGCATTTAACAGAATAACTCCAGCACTAAATGACTACAGTACATTTCTACATCAGTCTACTGTAATGATGGCTGAGTTCAGAATCACATACTGTACTTTCCTACTGTATAGGACAGATGGAAACAGGATTTCTATGGCACGAATCTTGACAACATTAATGCTTGCTTTTTCTCGTCAACACTAATGATCAAGTAGCCTGAGTGAATTATTAGGCTAAAATTGGATTTATTACTGCTCATCTGTATAGTTTACACACTATACATTTGATTTGTCACAGTTTCATGCCGTTTACATCAACAACAGCTGAACTTTGTCTTCCAGTTTGAGCTTGAACATGTGTGTGTTTACAGTAACTTTTATTATGTGTTATTATGAGCACAATCCCGTCAGTTTATGAATAAGGTCTTACTTCAATCTTACTTAAACATGAACACATCATTTGTGTAGTTTATTGTTATTGTTTGTATTGTTTATGTTGAATTAAATAAGAATAAATATGTGAAGAACCGGTAAGACTTTTTATTTCTAACACAGAGCACAGAATCATAAAAACTATCATCGTCATATAAACTGGACTGATTTTATTAAGTGTAATAATGCTGATACATCCCTGAACACAATCTAGTAATGGAGGTAATGCACACGGGTTAAATATTAAGAAGAATAATTAAAGTTTCACTGAAAAAATAATATAACTCTACTGAAGTTTTCATTAAATTGCTTATTTCTGAAAACTGACCATTGTTTCATCTCATGCCATGTTACAATGAACTGGTCCTGATAAATTCATTTGTGAATAAGTGGTTTTGACGTCCCTTCAGCTATTAGCCACTAGATGGCGCCATTGTTTGTTCATGACTCCCTCTTCAATTTTTATTCATGTTCATAAACGCTACTAAATATTAAATATTTGTTTAATATTTGAAAAAAAGTGATCATTCATGAGTGAACATTTACTTACTAATTTATTTTGAGATATGCAGAGGATCTACAGATACAAACATATGCAGCCTTGAGCTGTTATTAATAAAGTGTTTTTTTGTTTGTTTGTTTTCTTAATGAACACAGTCTTAAAAACATTAATACTGTCCAAAAATAAAATGTATAACCCTAAAGAGTCAGTGGATCATAATGTTCATTTAAAGACAGTTGATTGTAATAGATAATGTGCTGTAAATAAAAGCATGTCCACTCAAACACTATCAGAAATAAGACAGAAAGTAGACTAAGAGCAGTTCATGTGTCAGATGTTGGTGTAGGGATGTTTAGATGTCAGTCGTCTATAAGAGACTTCAGTGTGGACGCAGATCTTTCCAGTCTTACTCGCCTCACACTGATGTTTCTCCACACAATCTGCCTGAAATGATTGACAAGGAGAGAATGGATCAAATAAACTAGTGAAAAACCACATCAGTCCACAATTCATCTTTGATATGGTCAATAAAAGAGTATAAAATAGTACCATCAAAACATTTGCTTTAAGCATCTCAGCACTCATGTCAGAACCTAAAACACACACAAAATGAACCCGATTAATATACTGTAGTAATTTATAGTAAATACTGTAGTGTTTTTGAACTATACTATGGTAAAGGACTTGAATTAATCTGTTGTGGTAATTCTATAGTTTCTGTGGTAATGCAGCAACTATAGTAATGTAACAAACCAACACTGTACTTAACACCACTTTACATCACAGTTTACTATAGTAAAAACCAAAGTATGCTACAGTATTTGTTTCAGTTCATCAGTTCAGTAGTTAATACTATTTTCTGCTGCAGCATTCATTAACAGTTTAGTGAATACTATAATATACAGTACAGTATAATACAATTTACTGTAGAATGGGTCAGAAACACTCCAGTATTTACTATAAATTACTGTATTTTCTCATGCGGAAAAGTCTAATAATTACGATTGGAGTCAAAATGTTAAAATCTAAAAGAACAAATCTTTAAAAAAGCTCTACAGATTCACAGATTTGTTCAAAATGAATGTAAATGTGTCGATGAGCGCTACCTGTAGTTTGAGGACGACAGAAGCAGTAAACACAGATGGAGGACAGGAGTGAGGAGAGGAGAACACACACCGGACACACACTCAACAGCAGCGTCCAGCAGAACACACACTCTGACACTGGAGGAGAAGTGGAGGCGATGGTGGACTCATGTGCAGAAACTGCTGATAAATAAAAACACAAGACTGAACAAACAAATGAAGAGTTTCTGAAGCGTCCATAACATTTAACTTTAGAGGACATCGTCTTATATATTATTTACAGAAATTATATAAGAACAACTTTTCTATTTAAATTATAATGTTTAGATCATTTAATGGCATTAATCAGTTGTTGAAATAATTAATCAAAATTTTTCTTTAATTTTTCACTTTCCATTTGCTTAAACCATGAGTTGAACACAAAATAATATTTAAAACAAACATTTCAGGACTCCCATTAATTTCCATAGTCAGTCAGTGGAAACCAGAAACCACTCAGGTTACCATCATTTATCAAACTATCTGATTCTGTTATGCATTTCTATCTTGAACTAAAAGACAAAACAGGATTGGAGAATTTTAGAGTGAGTGAGTAATAATAGATCAGATTTATTATGGTGAATTCTCCTTACATTAGGATTATTTATATTAGATTTACTTTTCAGACTCACTGAGAAATTCTCAATCACACTGAATTTACCAACATGCATAAAAGCTTTAGATGAGCCACAGCAGGAATTTCTCCTCACCCAGGACAGCTAGTCGAGTTGTTTTGTTCCCATATTCATACACATATTTTGAATTGACGCCGTCTTCATCTATAAATGTCTTTTTCCTTTCCGCACAGTAGTAAAGTCCCTCATCAGAGACACTGACATTCTCTATATGCAGATCATAGGAGTTACTGGAGCTGTTGAGCAGGAAAATGAACCGTGGAAACGTCTCCAGGAAGAGCTTTGGAGGATCAATGAACAGAGATGGCTGATTCTCATGCGAGCAGTTTCTCATCCAGACAATGTGAGATCCAAACGGTAGAGCACAGTCACAGTAGAGAGTGACGCTTTCTCCTGGTTTAACTCTCATGTTCACTTCTGTCCCGAACACTTTCTGCTCTTCACACAGCAAAACACCTGCAGAACAAAGGTGAAAGAATTAACGTCATAAAGAAAACAGCACAACATTTACAACACTAATGAGTGGACTTACACAGAAGAATGACGAATGTTGGTCTCTCCATCTCAGTGACTGCTGAATGTGAGGGTCTTCAGTTGCTCTTATCTGATTGGATGACTCTCTCTGGTGGTGGGATGGGTTTCCTATTCTAAAGGGTTTTGATAAGGACTGGAAATGATCTAGTCTAGTTACCCACAACCAGGTTTAAAAAAAAAGTTTTATATATTTTTTTCCAAAATTGTTGAAAACTGATTGACTGACCGATATACAGTACATGCATATGCATAAGAATGTACACACTTAAGGCATGTCTAGGTGTCAAAACCGCAAATCATTCTAATACATTTGTGTGCTCACTGCAAAAACTGCACACAATGCACATATATAATCACATGGCGGTGGTTTCCTGTGTTTCCTACAAGCAAAGAACTTACCTTAAAGATAAGAAGATTACAAATATGGTCGTCCTGTGTGATAATAATGGGGTCTCATTGGAAAATGCTAAAGATTTCAAACTTGTGTAGTGTTATTATTTTTTATTATTACCACCACTACTAATATTGTCATTCTTATTATAATATAGTATTATACAATTTAACAATACAATTGACAATAATGATGAGGATGATTATTATTATTTGGATGGATGGATGGATGGATGGATGGATGGATAGATGGATGGATGGATGGATGGATGGATGGATGGATGGATGGATGGATGGATGGATGGATGGATGGATGGATGGATGGACAAACAGATGGACAGACGGACGGACGGATAGATGCAGACATGCACACACTGATTGTCGCAAAGTTGCCGGATACATTTGTGGTTTGACCTCACTTTTCTAAAAAAAAAAAAAACTAAAGAGCAGGTCTGAGTGTCTTCACTAGAAACGCTTCTTAAAAACAACGCTGCTTTCACACGTACACAACAAGCATCCTCTTACATCCTGTGGCAGCTGAGGTCCACTTTATCACTGAGTTTACTTTAATCTGTTGCACAATAAATGAAATTGGCCTGATGCATTGCAAATATCAAACAAAAGCATTTTGCAAACAGAACGACAAGTTTAAAGATCAACGAAGGCGAATTTGAAAGATTTTTGCTGTGCATTAATAATTATTTGATAAATTAAATCACAGACCTCTACAACTAACTTGGTGTTTAAAACACTCAGAATGATTGTTGTGGGACCCTGTGAAACTACCGAAAACAAAATCTCTAAAACTCTTCTAGGGCCTGTTAGAAATGAACACTTTTTGTTAAATTATTGAATCTGCTTTTATCACTTAACTGGAAACCAGTGTTGCCAGATCTAGCTGACTGATTCCAGCCCAAAAACTATCCAAAACCCGTCGAAATGCAAAAAAAAGGAAAACACAAAAGGTGGGAGCGGGTTTGTGATGGTCGTGAAAAGTACAATAAGTGCAGGGCGGTGGTTGTGACGGTCGCGGGAAACAATTTATACCCGCACAATATATATATATATGTGACTACCCAATGGACAAAAGACACTCGGTATTTTAGATTCTAAACACTTCCATCTTCATGCTTACTTGAACTCTTGGGTCACAAAGGCCTGAGAACTGAATTTCTGTCCCCCATGTGGTGAACCTTTAAGTTTAAAATTAAACTGCAGTTATAATGCTATAGTTATACAACCAAAGTCTCTTGTTTAAACCTACTTTGTACTTTTAATTTGTATTTATTTATATGTTTATTTACCTGTACATTGATTCATCTCTTGAAACCGGAATAAGAGTAAGAAAATAGGCCAACGAATGGCAATAAGTTGGTAGAGCTCAGCTCCACAGGTGCCGGTGATTAATCATTAGTAGAGTATATAACCAGCACAGGCAGAGCAAGCACTTACACTTTTTCACTTCAGAGCCTCTCATGAGACTGAACAGATAATCTGCTGAGCTGTTCCAGAGCAGTGACTCCACCAGTGCGGAAGTATTAAACTGGGTTCCTTTCCTATCCCTGGGCATTTCACTGGCAGCTAAAAGAGCATTTCATACTAAAGGAGCAGATGCACTAAGAGAGCAACACGGTCGAGCATCATGTCTTTTTAAAGATGTTGTTCCAACAATGCACTTCTGGATGTGGTGGTTAACCGCCACCCCCACCTCCCCCTCCCCCGGATGACACTGCGAGGGCATGACTGTTCCACAACCTTCAGGCCCACAGACCCATCACTCCTCCACAGTGAGCTCAATCCAAGCTTCCAGTTAGTGTGACAGTGTATGTCTTTGGATGGCAGCGCTCTCATTGGATGACACCTGAGACCAGATGTCCTTCACTGCATCTGAGGGTGGACTAACATGTTCAAATGACAATTCGGACCAGCTGCTACTATTTAAGGTTGTCAGTGAGGTCTTGGATTTGGAGTCGGACATGTTAGCTGTGATAACCCAGGCTGCTTCGGTGGGCTCTAGATGGCTTGTCCCCTAGCCCAACCTCCAGACCAATTAGATAGGTGTAACATGGGGACCAAAAAGAAGTTCAAACTTTACAAGCACCCTGTCCCCTTCCTTCCAGCAGTGCACAGTGAGCTCAAAGAGGTTTGAAGGGAATCTTGTTCTGCCCGGTCCTCATGCACTCCCACCCTCACCACCCTTGATGATGAAGCCGACAGGGGGTACGAAGCGATCACCCCAGGTGAAGTGCGCTATCGCTGTCAATCTTTGCCTGCTTCACCCTATTTACCCACAAATAAAACTGCAATAACATTCTATTAAGTCTATAATCCACTTTGCTATGTCAGACTAGTGTTTCTGCAATATGGGGAATGGTTTTTGTTGTGGATTTTGGGGTTAAGACAATATTTTAGAAACTCCATCAGTGCCGCCTATTTATTTTATTAGACCCAAACAAACACACAAACACATACATGCGTACATACATACTTAAACATTATCTACTTAATCATTTCAAAATAACAACAATAGTGAATGTGTTCCTCACATAAATGTTCCTTGATCTTTAATACAACATTTATAATTTGCCAACAAACAAGTCACTCAATCAGTTCACAACATGAATTGATAAAACACATTCACTTGTTTTACAGCAGTAAATATAAATGAAATATACAAATGTGGAGTGTTTATAATTTTTGAGAATATTCGCAGATTTTTCACATTGGCAAGCCCTTATCGCCCCCTTTAGGCCACTAGTAAAACTAAACAAACTGATGGTACTGACCACCAAAATGAGACAAGTATATGAACAATGAGCAGTTAAAATAAACATGTTTTAGATATTGCTTTGAGATTAATATTTACAGCATCATTTGAACACCATTACAAAGTCCATGCTCTTTGTGTTTCAGATGCAGTAAATGTGTGCAGTAAATTTCTCATCTATCAGAGTCTAGAGGAGAATTTTCGCTGCACATCAAGCTTTTGCAGACACTGCATGCATACAAACCAATCTGACCACAAACTCACCACATAAGCATGCATACACACACTAACTAGCCTCTGTCCTGTCCTGTTCATGTCTCATGCACACACGCACTAGGCTGAATGGAAACATTTGTGGTTTTTGATAACAGCCTTCCTTAACAATAATAAATAATACAAATTTTACAAAATACAGACAGGACTCTTGACCAAAACAAGTTTTAAGAGAAATTTGATCATTTAAACATTTGATCAGATTTGATTCAGGCTTTTGAAGAATAATACAATTTAAATTAATTTGTCTTATACTGAGGAGCAAATAAAATTAGATTTTTTCAACTGTTGGCTAATGGTGAAACTGAGTCAGTTAAATGATATAGTTGTCCAGTTTAAGATAACTGCACACACTTTAAAACAAACATCATTTCAGACAGGAAACCCACTTCAACATCCTGTTATTCAGAACCTTACAGTGTGTGTGCAAAGACTTCACACTAAACCACGTTTAATACAGGAGAAAAATATTATAATGTAATTTAATAGGAAACAGCGTCTTAACTTTACAGGTTAGAGTTTGTCAGCTAATTAAATAATAATAATAATAATAATAATAATAATAATAGTAATAATAATAATAATAATAATAATAATAATAATAATAATAATAATAATAATAATAATAATGTCATCTTGTATCATTTTATTATTGTCTATTAACAGCCTTTTATTATTGCATGTTACATGGTTAAATGATCAGACATTTTGCTTCATTTATTTATATATTTTCTTTTTTTGGAAAGTGTAAGAATGCAGTCAGGGGTGTAAAAAATACTCAACTAGTAATTGTACTTGATTGTTGTTATACTGAAGTATTATTATTTTTTGTGACTATTAGTACTTTTATTTGACCACATTACAGAAAAAAACTGTACTTAAAAGAAAAAATGGGTAACATTTTATTTTTCTTCCACCTATAAAATGGAAAAGGCACAATTAATAATAAAGAGAAAATTTAATTTTAAAAATCACAGTTTTTCTATAAGATTTATAGTTATGTGTTTGAGAAAACCTGCTAAAGACATTTCTTCTTAAAAAATATGTTTTGTTTAAAATAATAAAAAGGCACCATATGCTATCAGATGTGTTTATATTAATTTTAGAAGAGTTAAGAACTTCAGAAGAGTTGAGAAATCAGCATTTGTTGGACACACAACAAATGCTAACGTGTTATTTCGACCAATCAACATTTTCTTGTTGTCTAAAGTAAAAATATTTTTGCTCTGAAATTTAATAAGAAAAGTTATCAGATCTTATAATATATGAAACAAACAAAAAACATTCAAGTGTTCTCTTAACTTTTCCCATAGCAGTTTATTTATTAGCTGAATTAGCTTAGAAAAAGAACAAGACTAAATGCAAATGAAACATTTTGATTAGAGATTTATTCAACATTTTCCTCTCATGTTTTTATTTTGTTGATGTACTTTTACAAATTTTATACTACTGTAAGTACAATTTAAGTTTTTTAACAGTGACACAAAAATTATAATATTGAAGCTATAATGTTTAGTCTTTTTTTCTGCCGCATTCTTCTACTTTTAACTAAGTAAATCTTTGTACTTTTACTTGAGAATAGATTTGAGTACATTTTACATCCCTGAATGCACTTCA